TCAGCAGACAAGGAACTGGAGTTCCTTGTTGGTACCGCCCCTGTTTCTGTTTCTGCGACTGTCGCAGCCAGCGGAACGCGCGCCGCTTTTGAGTCGAAAAGATCGTCTGCTAAAAACGCCGGCTCTCGGTGCCGTATGCTCGTTCGTCGGCGGCATTCGTTGAGCCATCTCTTGTGTTGTCTCCCGTGCGAAACGGCGCCGTGTTGTTTGAAGACCGGTGGCGTCGCTGCGTTTCCATAAAAGCTAAGCCTTTTTCTTTTTTTACTTTTTCCTCGGGTAAATTCGCTCCTTGCAAATTTTACAAAAAAAAAAAAAAAAAAATGCACCATCTGTGGGCAACGCTGCACAAAGTCGTAGCGCGATAGGTTAAGAAACCGAATTTTGCGGTCGATTTAAACAGCTTGGCGTCTCCTTGAATCACCCTGTAGTATGCGGTAAAGCATCTTTTTTTTAATATCTCCACGCCACTAGAGAGTGTTTACGAAAAATGCGTAGTTGTCACACATTGTTGTTTTACCTCACCTATATTTTTTAGCATAATCCAGGTTGAAATGTTTTAATATTTTTTCGTCCCGCATACCAGATACGTAACCCACGTGACTGAGAACGACGGGAAACAGAGAAAACGTATATACAGCGTGTCTGCCGTACCTACCGCGCTGCTGTGGCCGACGCCAGGATATGGGCAATTCGCATAGTTGTGCCGTTGTGACATAAAAAAAAGAACAAATATTAAAAGGGCAAAATAAATACGCGGTAATCCAAAAACCTGTTTGGTAACAAGGCTGTAGTACTGCAGTTTCTACGTCGCCTGAACATTTTCCCTGGCTTGAGTAACATGATAGGACAATAGGACCGCCTTCCTCTCCGCATACCTTCAGGAAGCAACCAAAAATGTGTTTCCTAAATCCTTCCTGGCTATTTTTATTTTAAACTGTCGTGGTTGTTGTGTCGTGCTATTTTTTTTTCTTTTTACATGCTATGCACGGTGTTTTGTAGTTTTTGTGCTGCTTTATGTATTTGCTATTTTGCAGTTGCTTGTGTAGCAATTGCAGTTTAAGTCCAGCCCGTTATAGCGCTTGCGGCACACAGCAAAACGGTCTGAAAAAAAAATGGTAACGCCCAAAATACGGTACTTTTGACCAATGATATTTATGGATCAGGAAAGATTTGCCAATTTTCGTTAGGGAGTAGGCAATTAGCTTGTATATTGAAGGAAGTGAATGGCCGTGACTAGGTGCCGGGAGTGAAATAGTAACTGTAGTTGGTAACAGGTTAAGAGTTCGGAGGAAGCTGCTCCCACCCCTTTCCACCTTATAGAAGAGCGAAGGATGGAGAGAAGGCGACCTCCTTTTCAACCTGCTCTCTGCAAAAGTGGAAACAGGTGGGAGAAGTTTCCCCTACACTTTTAGCCTGTCACCAACTATAGTTTCCAGTTTTGAGAGCTTGTGTCGTTCAACCAACTTCACAAAAATAACGATAATAATTCCCGGAGAAGGGGAGAAAGGGGAAGTTGGCCTTTGTCCTCCTGGTTCCCCTTCTCCGGGGAATATTATCATCGTTAATTTTGTCAAGCTCGCTTGCGCCTTTGCGTTAATTACATTATAATCTCCGCAAATGCCTCTGCCAAGCTCAACCATCTACATTCTACACAGTATTTGTCTTTTGTTGTTATTGCTGTTGTAAGAAATGAAACCGGGCAGCATTGAAACTGAGATAGCTTTTTACGTGTACTGTGAAGAGCGACGAGAAGTAGATCACTAACTAACCTAAACTTTTCTTCTTTTTGCTTGGGCGGGGTTTCAATAAGTTTTAGTTTATTTTAGGAAATCAACGCATCACTGTCCTGCTTCTTTTCAATATGAAGCTAAATATCCCGTATCGCACTTTTCATTTTGTGCTTTGACGAACCTAGGGGGCGAGAGGATATGGAGGAACGTTTGGTATATTTTGAAGTGTTCGGCGTTCCATTGGCTCTTTTTAATCAACTCCATTTTCTGAATCTTATATAAAAAGTGTGCTTGCTAATAAAGGAAAAACTCATTTTAAGCAGAGGCCCAACCGCTAAACAAAAAAGATATGTACAAAATACGAGGCACTGGGCTCTAACGTATAAGGTGCTCGGCTTTTCCAAAGGACTCCGAAGAAGAATTTTTCTCTCGCCTTTTTTTTGCCCCTTTCATTCCCCTAGGCAGAACCAATGGAGCGTGAGCCAAAGAAGAAAACAAATAAAGAAATGCGCAAGACGGCGCTAAACATGTACATATATATTGAACGGGTGGACGGACAGTCCCCTCTGGAATGAATGGAGCAGCAAGGGCACCACTGATCGTGTTCAAGGATTCTTCGGTGCGCACATACAAGGCCAAGAAGAATGGGCAAACATATATCGCGTCGGGCGTGATGCAAAGAAAGCCAAAGAGGCCTCACTGCCTGAAACGAGAGGTGTCTCGGTCCTATTTCCTTTGGCTGTCGCAAGCGGATTGGCTCGAAACATACGCGCTTTGTAGCGTGCATGGAGCAACACCGATCGTGCGCACGGATGTCACGCAGTCACAAAAACACGTACAAGCAAACAAACGCAAAAAAAAAAAAATCAAAGCGCACGTACCCGAACACTAATGGTTCTTGATCCTCCCGTATACAACTTGCTTCAATGGTTTCGAAACTGGAATACTCATAACAAGTTCCTTCTCAAGAGAGACCACTCAAGAATGTTCCGCAATCACAGTTAAGTTTTATGAGAGAAAGAAATAAATAGACAGGCGAAAAGGCTTCTTGGAAAATATATATGTATGCAGTGTGTCGAACCGAAAAAAATACGGGTTCGGTTACGGTTCAGGTTCAGGTAAATTTATTTTGTTCCGGTTCAGTTCCGGTTCGATTAATTCGATCCGCGAACCGGTTCGCGAACCGGTTCGGGGCGCTGAACCGGTTCGCGAACCGGTTCGGAAATTATAAATGACAAATTGCAACATCAAAATAAATTACAAATAAAACATCTGAAATCAGCACTTACGAAACGGGATACATCGTAGTGTAAGGCTCAGGGATTTCTACCAGCCATGGTTTCTTTATGTGCACTTAAAGGTTACCTCACCGACGTTTACGCATTCGGACTTCATCTAATTGGGTCCGACGCAGTACCTGTAAAATCCGCGACCTCCTTACAAACCCACTTACAAGCAGAACTCGCTAACTATCCCGCCACATCGGCGTGTAAGCAATTGAAGGAACAGTGGGGAGAAAATACAGCTTTCTTTATTTGAACTAGCCTTCGGTAACTCAAATTAGACCCTTAAAGAAGTTTTCATTAAACAAGATACGGAATATGAAAAACACTTCACCGAACGCAACGCCAGAAGGACGTAGTAGGATAAATATTAAAATAGAAGAGTTCGCTGTCTCACAAATATGTTAGCTTCTAAGTGCCTATACGAAACCGGATGCATTATTATCCAACTCCACAGCCTTTTCTTTTCTCATTCCGATGGAAGCAAGCTTCAAGAACTCGCGCGTTCTAGAAACGTGTTATGAAATGAGCACACAGCAGCATTTAGGATTTACGAGATTGTAGGAAAATAAAATCCCGTAACGCGATTTTTTTTTTCTTTTTTGCACAGCTTTTCAATTTTCTTTCTTCCGTGCAAGCCGCGACCAGCGCAATACTGGTTCCTATGTCAAGATTCACGGATGCAGCGTTTATATTCCCAAGACTGAGTGGAGAAGAAAAATATGTAAGCGAGGTGTGTGTCAGTTGATGGCACTTAAAAAACAAATGGCATTGATAGCACATTCATTGTCAACAGCGCGTGGCCGAACCGTTTTGACATGAGCCGGTAACCGTTATTTTTTTTCCGGTTCAGTTCCGGTTCGGGTTCATCGCGATAACAATATAACGGTTCGGGTTCGGTTTCAGTTCCGGAAAAAATACCGGTTCGGTTCTGGTTTTCGGTTCGGTTCGGTTCCGGTTCGACACCCTGTATGTATGTGTCACGGGTCGTGCGTTCGTCAGCCTCTATCGAAAATTTGCGTTCCCCTGTGCCGGTTTCATTGACCTAGCTCGTTTTAGAAGTTGCATTTCAATTTTTTGGATTGACAACTTAGAAATCGCTTTAAAAGTCTGAGATGTAACAGACTTGTTGTTTTTAAGAATACTATTGAAACAGGCGCATCTCGCTAGAAGCAAGTTACTCGGGGAGATCAATAACAACAACCCGGGCCGTCAGACCCGGTTACTTCTGAATATTGCACATCTGAGTGTCAAGTGGTTCTCTTTATGAACTTGTTTTCTAAGTCCCCCCCCCCCCCCCCCCCACACACACACACAAAAAACAAACAAAAAACGATGATGGAATTATTATGGTCGCCGAGGGCAGGGTAAAAAAAAATTCTGTAGTGATGTCTTTAATATAAAAAAAGTGACGACACCGAACGCGGGTGGCAAGTCTAGAAACAGTTACAGAAGACGGGCAAACCTCTCGGGGCTTCTTTGGGGGAAAATATGATTATGTCATTGAACAGATGGCACAAATAAGGCTGTCTCTTGCTTGGTGAATATTAGTTACGCAACAATCTGCTGTTTCCTTTTAATTTACGTGCAACTAGTCATCAAGCATAGAAACAAACGAAGGAAGCAATGCTCGTCGCTTTTACAACAAGAGACAAGGTTTTAAAAATCTAATACAAAATGAGATTTAATTTTTTTTCTACCTAAACGACGTTACACTAACACATTAAATCATCCTAAATTAAGTAGCTATCGGCTCAATTTTATAACCATGATCCCCAACAAAAAGTTCTTAAAAAGCAGAATAGTAAAATCGAATATTATTATTTCAAACCCGTTGAAGCTAACGCAAGCGCCGAGGCGCCCACCCATTCAATTCCTGTTTTCGGAAGGAAGCAGCAGCGACAGCGTCCTGAATCCAAACAGCGGTTTGGAAGAGAACAAAGGCCGGCGAGCAGCACGGCTATTTCCGTCGTCAAGCAAAACTCACCGGAAACACGTGCGTCAGCGAGAGCCGTGGCACGAAGGATCCGTAATGGTAAAGGCGAACGTCGAGCCGCAGGTTGTACGGCTCGCCCGCGTACAGGTCGTCGATGGCGTACACGAGCAGGCGGTCCCCGTCTACGTGGGCGGAAACGAGCAGAGGTGCGAAGAACCGCACGGCAAAATAGTGAAGCATCTTCCAGTTTCCCAAGTAATCTGCGAGAAGGAATAGTCCTTTTCAAGAAACAAATCGAGCAACATTGGCGGTCGCCATTTTTTGGGGGGAACGAAGCCTGTGATTGGATCCGATCGGATCCGAACCCTCGCCGAAAGCTGACGCAGCCCTCGTGCCCAATGCATGCTCAGAGTGCGTGTCCAAACAATGGTGGGCTCCGATAATTGACGCTGCAGCTACGAGATGGCGCACACTTTTGAAGAGGGTCTATTACTGAATAAAAAGTCAGGGCGCGAGCGAGCTGGCGAAGATTAGACATTTAGTAAGGTGGTTAGTTGGGCGAGTTGGTAAAGATGAAGCATGGTTAAAATTGCGCTCAAATAGAAAGGAACAGTGGAGAGAGACGAGAGAAAATTGCGCTTGTTCCTCCTCTCTTCTGTCTCCATTGTTCCTTTCTATTTGTGCGCAATTTTAACCATGTTTAAGCTTAGACATAACGCAACCCCGAGACTGCAGGTAAGCATAGGATGACACGTAAAACGAAAAGTAACGATTTTTTTTTTTTTTTTTGTGTATCTATCGGCTTTTGCTCACCTGCAAGTCTCAATCTCGGGGTTGTGTTACGCCTCTAACGAATTGCCTTCATTAACAACGATACTGTACTTTCAGTCGATACCACTTAGAATTCATCCTTGCCGTTCGTAACCCACGAAACACGTGGTATTCTTTCTCTGCACGCGACGGCAGTCGCGAGAAAAATTAGAGAAAATGGCAGTCGTCCTCACGATACGACGAGCGCCTTGTTTGCATATAGTTTAATATTAAATTGCATGTGATGTTTAAAAAAAAAGTTTTCATCGCCTAAGACGCTATAGTAGTTTGGACACCTACCACACCGCAGTTGGAATCAAATTTCCTAAAATCGCGGGTATTTTTTTTTTTAGTTGTAACCTAAGATAAGCGACCTTGAAATGTATAGTTGCAAGGCACCTAATGTTGGTAGAAAACATTGTTCTCACCGTAAAAATAAAACTGGGCGTCATTGAACCCTCAAAGCCCGCCCGAATGTAGGACATGGGTTTGAGATAATGACGTAGCAAATGTTTGTTTTCAGCGGCGGGAGTCCCTCGGTTACATCACTGGGTTCAGAGACCTGGCCCGCCTTGCTAGAACAGCGTTTCAGCCAGGGTGTAAGATAGACAGGTGGGGAAACGAGAGCCAAATGAGCGACCGGATTCTGTCCCCCTCGACTTTCTCTTTTTCTGTGGCGCCATCTATGTGGAGCACCGCGAACTCTCACTCCGGGTGGGCGACCGGTGGCGACTGGCTAAACTGACGGAGATCATTTCTCGTGGATTTTCAATGGAGGACTGTCGTGCTCCCGGTTCATTTTGCGCACTCTCCCATAGAGTTTCATGCAAATCCGACTCCGATTTTTTTTTCTTCTCGCCGCAACGCCATCTGTCGCAAATCGGGGGTACCCGCAAGCAGACGAGTACACAATCCGGTCACGGCGCTGCGGCAGGCTTCTATGGGCCGTTTCCCCACCTGTCTATCTTACACCCTGGTTTCAGCTTAGACTGCGTGAAAGAAAGACCTGCAAAGGCTGGGGCGCGCGAGCGTCCTGAGACGTGGTTTGAGTCCCGCTCCGCTACTGCGCTGGCTTTGGCAGTGCTTTCTTTCACCCAGTCTCAGCTGAGACGCTGTTTCTAGCCGGCCGGCCCAGATGTCATAAATTCCAAACTTTACCATTATTTAATTCGAGAGTTATCAGCAATTTTTTAAAGATTTTTTGAGTGCTGCCAGCCGGTCTCGATGCGCAGTTATTTTAAGCGGAAAAGCTCGAAACAAATGACGAGAAAATAATCGCTCGAAACGCACATGGGTCTTATTAAGATATGCGATATTTTCGTCATTCTTGTCCAGCTAGCTTGCCCCTTTGAATTTAATTGCATTATAATTATAACCTTAAATTGCAAGCTTCACCCTTGTTGGTGTTAGGCTGGTGGCAGCTGATAAAACCCGTTTGCTTTACTGACGTCTAACCGCTGGTTAGCTCAGTTGGTAGAGCGCTCCACCTATAATGGAGAGGTCCCGGGTTCGATACCCGGACCAGGCGGATTTCTTCGGTCGCTCACCAGTCACCTAGCTGTGTTTGGAGATTTATGTTTGTCCTTTGTCCCTCTTGTTGCCTTTCTCCAGGGATTATTTTCGTCGCGATTCCATGTCGTTTATCACTGATGCTTAAATGGGGAAAATAATTGTCTCTTGATGAAAATAGATGTACATCACAAGAATGACTTACCGGTGTTATTCAAACAATAAAAAATCTCAAATAAATATTCTAATTTTTTTGTGGGCTTGTCTTTACTTCGCTGCTGACGAGGCGCAAAGCTATTACTCGAACTTCTAATTAGGAACAAAATGAATTATTTTGAATCGAGTATTTATTTATTTATTTATTTATTGTTCCATCAGGGCCCGAAGGCATTACGGAGGGGGAGAACAACAATATAGTAATACGAGTATAAAACAAAAAAACAATTAGGATACAAAACAAAATAAAGTTTTAGATACACTCGTGAAGAATATGGTTAGTTAACGCAGATTTAAAATGCTCCGAGTACGTGATGGAAGATGAATGGATCAATAAAGAATTTGAAATTTGAACATTAAAATTTAAAATTTGAATTTGAATTTGAAGTAATTCAGGGCGGGTTCTATATCAGCTGCGCTTTTTCTTTTCGGGGTGGTAATTATTATTTTATTCGTATGATGATTTGAGGTATCCTTTATTGTGACGTGAGACAGGATCTAGGCTTTGATGATCGATAGAGATCCATTTCGGTTGGTTTATTAAGGAAAGGTGTGGAACGTCGCCGCAGCCGTCTATTGATTGGCGATCGCGGAGACGTCTCTAAAATGACCCAGAAACAGGACGACCGACTTACAAAATCGACTCGACAAATACATTCGGGGCAGTAGAGCATCAAGCGCCAAAAAAAGAAAAAAAAAAAAGAGCACTATTAAAAGACGGATATGTGTTTGCGGTAAAAGTAAAAGGCATCAAAATATGATGTTTCATCGCGGCGCAATTGTCTTGACGAGCGGGGACGTAGTTCCCCAGAGATAAAAAGGTCAGATTTGAAAAAAAAAAAAAAAAAAAAAAAAATAGTGGAGGTGCTATAGAAACAATAATTTGCAAAAGAATTCCCCATTTGCTCAACGTTTATTCACCGAGCAGCGCCGTTAAAAAAAGGTGACAAAATTAATTTGTTGATGTGTTTAGGAAACTGATTAGTTCCCGCGCTTGTACTATAAAAACAAAATGTAATAAACTACTTTTTTTTTTTTGTAAAACCAATTAGAAACACTTCGAATAGGCTACCAAAATTTATATCCAGTGCTTAAGTCACCTGTGAACATTGCGTATACATTGTGTAGAATTTCAGCTTATGCAGTTCACCTTGGAACCAAGACATTAAAAATGACGCAAGCTCTTGGTCACACGAGGACGACGTGAATAAAACGTGCGCGTGCGCTGTGTTTCTTCTTTCTATCTTCTTCTGTGCGTCAATGGTAAGACCCGCGTGGTTGTTTATCGGCACATAAAATAAGCAATATTATTATCTTATAATATATTGTTAAAACAATCTAATCAAATTGCAATAAGATCGTCAAAACTAGGATAAAGTAAAAATCATTGAAGAGGAATTTTCTGATATTTGAGCAGTGTTTTAATATGGATTCTAAACTCACTTACAGAAACAAATTTAAAAAAAAAATGTTAATCTATGTTTCGCGTTATGCGTTACACTGTGAATATTATTATGCCTCTAAAATTTTGTGGGTTTACTCCTTCTCGCCGACTTTGCGATCGGAAATCCGCATTGACCCAGAAATAGAAGACATCAAAGGGTTCTATATATACAGAATTAAGAGTACTAGTTAGGCTCTGTGAGCGGACATTTACGGCACTTTCTACTGTAAACGCCCGCATACGGAACGAGCGTTCTAGCACAAACCCTGCAGGTGTACTACTCGAGCACAACACATGAAGGGGCGATGCAAGCAGCGATTACGTTTGTACTAAGAAATGTTGTGTCCTCCTGTGACACTAAGTCTGACGTTCACGTAGCGCCAAGTCTAGCGCAAATTGCATTGTAGAGCCCGAACATTGTTGTTTGGTTGTCATCCATCGTTCTCCATCCGTGAAAAGAAATACTTCCTTCCTCGTGTTTTGCTGGAAAGCCTACGAGTGGTCCTTATACTTTGAAAGCTCGTCACAGATTCAAGAGTGCGAATTTTAAACGCGCATTTTATGCTTACGAAATGCAAAGCATACTTCAGAACTATACACTGTTATGCGGCGGCATATAATAGGTGTTTGATAGCGTTGTGCACAACATCTGGAAATAGAAGTGCTAAACACTACACTTTCGTTTCATGCGGTGGCATTTGACAGCATTGCACGCGTTGGCTATGACTCGCGTGAATTTATGGTAGTTTATAGTCCTCAGCATTTAAAAACGTGTAAAGCGTTTCTTGTAGGCCGGAATACTTTGTACTTGAGCTTATATCAAAGCATGACAAAGGGAAGATGTTTCTGATCATAAAGTGATACTGCTTATGATGCTACTAAGGCGAAACAGCTGATTTCAGTATATAAAGTTGCACTGTTTTCCGTTTGTCTGACTGGTGGCTAGAAGCCATTCGCAACTTTCACGACTTAAAGGAGATGCACTGGTGCCTGTCAAGATGGCTGTCGTCTGGATGATTGTCGTAAAACATCAGTACGAGGCGACGCGTAAGTAGTTTTAGTTTTTCTATATGCGTGCAGTATTAGACCCTTACTTTTCACGACAGGAAGGTCTAAGCAAACAACTTTAGTGCGAAGCTCATCATACACGATCAAGGAAGCGCGATTCTCACACCGCGGTACCACCATTGCTAAAATTAGCGAATTAAGGCGGGGTCGCACTGCTTATTCATCGAACGAGAGACAGTCTGTTGAATACGAGTCACTGCGAGATGCGTGCTTATAATGCCGCATTGCAATGAGTTTAAGAGAAAACGTGGCACGCGGCATTCGAACCATGGGTATTGCGATGACTGTCACTTTTGAGTTATGTATCAGCAATGTGACCCCGGCTTTGCGCTTTCGGGTCATTTTACAGCACCTGTAGGTTATCAGCAACAAAAACTAAATAAGATGCAAAAAGAGAACAATGTTTCAGAAGCGACGGTTGACGGAATTTTCTTTTCCTTTTTTTTTTTTTTTTTTTTATCTGGTGGCACAGAGCATCAAAGAGCCTTTCTTGGGGAACCTGGACGTCCGCGCACAGATTGTGCAGCGGCGAGGACCCGAAACAAACTTTCGGGTCCTCGCGTCTCGCCGCTGCGTCTCGCCGCTGCGTCTCGCGGCAGCGGCGAGACGCTGCGTTTCGGCGTCTCGCCGCAGCGGGGCGCCATTCACGTGGCTCTCCTCTCATCCGTTGTCTGCCGCTCCACCTTTTCTATTTCGGCGGCCGCTTCTCGTGGCGGTCTGCCAGGCTTCGTCAGTATATAAGAGGCTATGCTCGTGCACTGGCGCTTGCCTGTTGTGAACTATACAGCTCTGGCGGCGTCACTGGATGCGTGAGACGCTCAGTAGAATGGGTTTTCTTTGCGAGGTAAGGAGATCGCTCACCGATGGAGGACCACGATGGCGCCTGCCAGACGTCGTTCAGGTGCCAGAAGAGAGCGCCCATCGTGAGGCCCCGGGAGCGGCGCAGAGTGAGGCGGTGTCGCCGGAAGTGTTCAGCCTGCGTCTTCACGCCCATCGCCTGGTACACCTGAGAAGCGGGATGGCTCGGACGCTTTGTTCGGACATGTATTCTAGAGAGAAACTTGCACTTGGAAGGAAGGGAAAGAGGGAGGTTGGACTTCAAAGAAACACCGCACACGACCGGGAGCAATGAAGTTAAACAATCGTATTAAAATAGCGACGTCGTCGCTCCTTTTACAGATTCAAAGATCTTCTTCTTGGCTTTTTTTTTTTTTTGGTCTGATTTCACCACGCTTGTGTTGTGTGGAGATCTAGTGTACTGCAATAGTTCTCGTAATCCTGCATTTATTGGGGTAGGCAGCACTCGATAAAATCACCTTATCCCGATTTTTGAGACTAGTGATTTCCTTCTGACCTGTGACTGTTTCCTTGCGGCTCGGGGTGTTGCGTTCCCTGATCGTGTGCCTTTTTTAAAGTGGTGGTGGAGCAGATGTTTAATGTTTCGTACGTCAGATTTACGTCGTGAAACGCACCAGAACTCAAATGTTGTTATGGCTCAACATACGCAATTTGTAAAACTCGATCTTCGAAGTGCTTTCCCTTCTGCAAACTGAGAATCTACAGGCAGTTGTTCAGTTTCAAAAACCATTAACCACTGAAGTGTTTGTTTACCTAAGCTTATTTTTTCTGGTAAAAAGGCTAAACAAAAAAAAATGCTGGGCGAACGGAATGTTTGCATCACGCAAACCGCTGAGTAGGATGCGGCGGCATCGTGCTATATTTTTGTCAATAAAAGTGCGCAGACGTGATGCTATTCTTCGTAGATCGTGAGATATAAGAAAACATGATGAGTTTATTGCGTGCATAGCGTATACACCACGCGAATATTGACTCCAAGCGCGCGCTCTTGGCGATGATGCGAGCGCTGTGCTTTATTACACCTTTCGATGGACCGTCCAGGGACCCCCCCCCCCCCCCCCCCCCCCCGAACCTGAGCCATCGATGCCGATCCAAAGTCGTGCGAGTGTCACGTGAGCCGGAAGAGCGCGGCAAAGCACCGGGCGCACAGTCACGTGATAAGGCCGCGGCGTTCGATTGGCTGGGACGGCCCGTAGCGTCCGCTGTGGTCCATCCTCACATGAAGCGAAGTGTAGAAAAAACGCGAACTAGAGAATGCAAACATGGCTGTCGCACAAATCTAGCTGCGTTCAATAGACCGATCTCACCAGCCAGTTTGACTACGCCACTGCTGCCGCGATGCGCCGAGAGAGCTTTGGTCGTTCTGCACGTGCGACAACCTCGCTGGAGCTGTGCGCGTCTAAAGCACGAGACGTCCCAAGCCCTCTCGTGCACTGCCGTCTGCCTCATGTGAACTAAAGTTTTGGCGGCGTTGCGCATGTGCCGAACGTTTAGTGAGATCGGTCTATTTAACCACGCATTTCTTAGGATCGCCGAGTGTGCACTATTAGCGGCGAGATGTTTTGGTGGCGCCCTCCTATGGTTCCCCCTTGTGACGTCATTACGTTGCGAACAACAAGTTCGATGGTGTTTGTAAATAGCATGGTGGAAGCCTGAAATTATAGCGCTCTCAAAGCAACACTGCCAACACCGTCGAAATTAAAGTTCTTTCATTCCTCTTATTTCCGTCGTTGGTATACCCTTTCCAACGTCATAGTCAGCTTTTGGGCCAATCGTGGAAGGCCGACCACAGCGACGCTTTCGGTCGCGCACGTCGCCAATACGTGGCACAAATAAATCGTATATGCTTTAAGATAAATCGCAGAAATTAATTTTGGCCGGTCATTTTCTGCGTTGTCCCTTGCGCACGCCCATATGGCCTGCTTCGCATCAAGTCCAAGGCCGCAGCCAACACTATCCGTACAGCAAGTCGTCTGCTTCTTGCGCAGGAGTTTCGGTGACGTCAGAACGACGCAGAGTTCTGATTGGTTTTGGTTGGAAGGATAGTGGGTAGCCCTCAATGCTAGGTGCTTTAAGGTCTACCCACTATTTTTTTTTTTCAATCAGCCAATAAGAGCTTGACCTCATCGCAACCCCTGTGCAACAAGCAGACCAGGGTGTAAGATAGACAGGTGGGGAGACGGCCCATAGAAGCCTACTGCAGCGCCGTGACCGGATTGTGTACTCGTCTGCTTGCGGGTATCCCCGACTTGCGACAGATGGCGCTGCGGCAAGAGGAAAAATATCGGAATTGGATTCGCGTGGAACTTTATGGGAGAGTGCGCAAAATAAACCGAGAGCACGACAGTCCTTCATTAAAAATCCACGAGAAACTATCTCCGGCAGTTTAGCCGGTCGCCATCGGTCGCCCACCCGGAGTGAGAGTTCGCGGTGCTCCACATAGATGGCGCCACAGAAAAAGAGAAAACCGAGGGGGACACAATGCGGTCGCTCATTTGGCTCTCGTTTCCCCACCTGTCTATCTTACACACTGAAGCAGACGAACTTGCACTCTTCGCGCAAGGACGACGAGCGCCATGACATATACCTGTGGCGGTGCTTAATGGACTCCATTGGCATGTAGCGTTGGCTGCGGTCGGTCGTAATGCGAAGCGGAGTAGAATGGAAGCAAATGCGGCCCTTGGCTATTTCTGGTAGCGCTTGTGTGGCGGCATCGGCGCTCAGTGACATGGAGCTCGGTAACCCAGGATTTGAAGCTCAACGCGACGTACATCGTTCCGCCTTCGGTTGCAACAGCAATTCAGGCCTATTCGCCGGTTGAGGATCCTTATGAGGCCATCAAAACTTCCTCAGCTGGCTCGTATAGAAGGCACCAAACAATTGCGAAAAATATCGACATATAATTAGACTTTTTTTTTATTTTTGTGTCAAAGAAGGCTTTTGAATAAAAGCTTATGTGGGCCATCAGGCCCACATTAGCTTTTATTAATAGGCTTTAAAGTTAATAAATCAAAACTATTTTATTCTCACATTCCTTCTTTTTTTTTTTTTTAGATCAGACATTCCGGTGAGACAGAAAACGATTTTTTTTTCTATTTTTATATTAAAACAATTTTTAACTTGTAATATGAAATTTATGGAAAACAATTTTCGATTCAGGCAGAATATTTTTTGTTATTTAAAGCTTTTACTAGCCCATGTACCACGTAGCTACAATTCGTGGTAAATATAACAGTGCCCTAGGATGCGAAGTTAATTTTGGCGATTTGCGAGGTCTGTTAGAAAAGTATCCGACCTATGGTCGAAGAACAAAAAGAAACTGGCATAACTGGAGTATTGGAAACCTAATCATCCTTAAAGTAGTCTGCTTGGGACTCCACACACTTTTCCCAGCGGTGCTGCCATTGTTAGAAGCATTCCGCGAATGCCTCTTTCGGAATGGAGTTGAGCTCAGCTGTCGTTGCAGCCATAATGTCCACCCTTGTCTGAAATCGCGCTCCTTTCAATGGCCTCTTGGTTTTGAAAAACAGCCAGAAGTCGCAGGGGGCCATATCAGGAGAGTAAAACGCCTTTTGAACTACAGGAGTCTGGTTTTTCTCCAAAACGTCTGAATCAAGTGCGAGGAATGTGCAGGAGCATTGTCGTGATGGATGCGCCCATTTCCTGTTGACCACAACTCCGGTCTCTTTCGCCGCACAGCATCATGTAGGCGACGGAGGACATCCCTGTAGTACTCTTTGGTGATTGCTTGACCCTGTCTTGCGCACTCGTGGTGTACCACACCGCGGGAGTCAAAGAAAGCAGTCTGCATCATTTTCACGTTGCTGCGCACTTGGCGGGCCTTCTTTTGTCTTGGTGATGTGGAACGCTTCCACTCTGACGACGGCGATTTCCTTTCCGGGTCGTACCCGTACACCCATGACTCGTCACCAGTGATTATGGTGTTCATAAAGTCAGGGTCACTGTTTGTAAAATCCAGCATGTCCTGTGAGACTTCAACATGAAGCTGCTTTTGATCCACCGTGACCAGCCTCAGCACGAATTTTGTCGCAACTCTCTTCATGGCCAAATCTTCGGTCATAATGGAAGGTGCAGAAAAAGTGCTGACGCCCACCTTTTCCGGAATTTCTTGGATAGTCACACGACGGTCCCGCATCACCACAGCCTTCACCTCGCCAAGGACCTGGTCATTTTGGCACGTTGATGGCCGACCGAAGCGTGGCTCGCTCTCCCCCAATGTGCGAACATCTCTAAACCGGTTGTACCACTCCTTAAAGGAGCTGTGCAACGATATTCAATTGGAATGTTTTTCTCTCTACACGAGCTTACTGGCACACCTGGGACTCAAGGATACTCACACGCAACGCCACTGGCCAAGAAACTTCTTTGTTGCGGTGTAATTTCAAGGACAAAAGCGATCATTTTCATTCAATCTCTCCTTCGCAAAATTCGATGACGTAACTCGGGGATCGCAGTACACCCAAGTGACGATATTTGAATGCGGCTCATAGATTGGATTCGAGCATTGCGTGGGCACTCGACTTGGGCTCGTGACAATTGCTATCTCGAGGAGCATTCGGGTTGTAACCCGTGTCCAATCGCTGCAACGACGACAATAGCCGAGCCATAACAATGTCTGGAACTCAGCGCGTGTCCTGCGCCTTGCCAACCCCAGCGCGTGGCTGTGATCAACATTGGCGGCATATAATCGGCTCCAGATCACGTGGCCGCTCGTTCTGGCTGCGAGTTGAGGGGGTGAATGCTGCTCGTTTTTCTTAAATTTTTTTCTGGGACTTCTATTGCGTGAGGTGAAAAACGAACGCGTGTTTCATAGGTCATTAACGTTAGGGATCTGTTTTACGCGGTATTTGTGCAAAGTACAAAAATTGTTGCATTGCTCCTTTAATCTGTGTGCTGCTTATAGCATCGTCACCGAAAGCCGTCTGAATCTTCCGAATGGTCTCCACTTGGCTGTCGCCCAGTTTCTGGCAAAATTTTATGCAGTAGCGCTGCTCCAGTCGCTCCGCTATTTTCCTTGCAATAATAATAAAAAAAAAAAAAAAAAACGACGAGAGCGCTACGCACTACCTAACTCAAACGCTGCGTCCCATCGACTGGCGCTATCGGAGGGCGGGAACAAATTCACGC